CGAGGGGGGGGGGGAAATATCTGAGATTGCCCGAATTTCTAATATAGTGGAGAGATTTTTATCTGAAAAACTTGCTTTCGGGCCTGCGAGGGGGGGGGGGGGCTGTCCCCTCTGCCCCCCCTTTGCTCCTCCACTGGTCCCATTTTCTAGTAAAATACGGATCTAGATGATAGTAGATCGAGTGTTCCGAGGTCTTGATTAATTGAGGTGGGCAATGATATACTACAGTGAGGAAAACTGTTGATGACCATTTGACTTTTAAACACATTTTTAACTGTGTTACAACTTACCACGGCAAAAGGCCAGTGAATGAGGAATAAATCTAAATAATCAGTCTGTAGTTTTTGTAGTGAATCTCGACAAGCACCTTCAACATCATTAGGATTATGGAAGGCAATCCATAGCTGAAATATACATAATGTTATGACAGGTAAAATATCATTTGATTTAGTTTCCACTAGAATTATTACATGACATGCTCATTCTCTTCCGATATTGCAACAGACTTTGGTGATCAGCATAACTTAAACATTCATCAAAATATATTGACGCAAATTAGTAAAAGTATATATGCATATTGTTTTGACAGATGATAGAGCTATCGATGTCACCTTTCAAAATCAAAATCCGACATACGATTCTCCTGCAATCCAACAAAGTTAACTTGAAAGATTATACTGCTATAATTTTACAATTTAATGTGGAGATACCTGACATAATTGACCTTAACCGTTCATGAGAATGTTAATAAGTATCTGCAACAGAACAGTGCAATCTTCTATTGCAGAAGAACTAAACTTTAGTTTTTTTCTTTCTGAATAGTGATTTGGATAGTTGAAATTGAGCTCAATCAGTCACCAGAACAAATATTTAGACCTCAATATCGTTTTTAATTCACATTCTAAAATAATTTCGGTTCGCTTCTATCATTGACGATTTTGCTCATAAACGATACAATAATTATATTAGTTGTGATATTTCATAATCACACGAACTCCATCTTATACCTTGACATTATTAGACAATTTTCTTGTACAACGGGAGTTTGTGAATACAGAGATTTGAATGTACGCTAGCGAATTTCGTATCCATTTTCCACTCACCTTGGTGGTAATGAATAAATCTGAACGTTTGATAACACCTTCTTCTGTCTTGGAAGTTACAGCATCACCTACTTCATTCTCTGTTTTATAAACCCAGGCTGTATCAATATGGCGGTAACCAGCATCAATAGCTACTTTACATGCATCTCTTACTTCATTATCCTAAAGATTTCCATAATAAGTTTCATTCAATGCAAGTTGGAGAAATATAATTGAGTGGAGAAGGACATTTGTTCGATCCACTTTTGAATTGCTTGTTTTTGAGAATTATCAACAATAACGAAAGTCAAATTTGGCATAACGTTTCGTTAAGAGTTTAAGCTTTATATTCTTCCAACTGAAAACTATAATTTGCATCAATGTCCAATTTTGGCATGGGATGTCTTCCATATTCTAACAACGTCTTTTAATCAATGGAGGCGACTAAACTAAGAGATTTAAATGCAACGTCAATGTTTTGAATAATACAGAGTCTCTGTGACATAGGTCAGTGCTTTCATTGAGACTTATCTCAATACACCCTAATACAGTGTAAAGTCGGCATTGCCATGAAAAGGATTATTTCAATCATGCAAAATAATTAAATAACACCTGTTTCAGCCTTGCATGAGTTACCTCCATAACTATCGATCAACATTTTATACGTATTATAGCCAGATTCTACTTTCAATTTATTTTAATAGACAATCATATACATATATACCTACCTTAAAAAGATTAAAAGTGCCATATCCAAGAACTGGCATATCATAACCAGTATTCAGCTTGATAGTGGGTATTTTGTTAGCCATTTTGAACTGTGGTGTGAGTTCTTACAGTGAGTCCAGTTATCTTGACACACTAGGCCAATTTAAATGTCGAGCAAAGTAATAATGTGTCGACCTTGTCGGGCAGCTGTATTTTATTCAGGTCAGATGATTAGTGTTTATCTAAGTATGAAGTAAATAATTATAACAATAACAACTGTATTCACGATAGAGAGTCGTATCACGACACAACTCGCATCGACACAACTCGCATCAACACGAGTTGCTGCTACGATTACTTAAAGTGACATAATTCATCATTCGTTTGACCAATCGACAATTGTACATTAGTCTCAAAAACGTGATTTTTTTTAGCTTAGCTAATCAACAATTGTGTTAACAGTTAACTGTTGAGGCTTTAATTCCATGTGTTCAGAATTATCCGCGTTTGAAAGTTAAAATGACGACGCATCTGTAGTTTTTCTTGAAACTTCGCTACACATAGAAAGGATATATAATTAAAGAAAGTGAAATGTCCTATTTGAGGTATATTTGAAGGGATTATACTATTTGTGTGCAGTTCTAATACTTCTGACGACGATACATATATATTCAAGACCCCCGAAAATGGCGAGCTTGTCCCTTTAAGTTATTTTTCAGAATGCACACATATACTTTTCAAAACTATTGAAAATTTCCAGCCCTACAACTGGAATTTCATGCCCATCATTGAGTGATAACGATGCCATAATGTAATAATAAATAGATATAATAAACTATAGATAATAAGTTATAAACTTTCAGTATATTTTTTTATGTAAAAATGGAGTCCAGCAAGTAACGGTTAATATTTTGTAGTAATCACTATAACCACTTGTTGTTCAGACTAAATATTATTAGATTTTAAACCTAATCTTTTTGAGTGCATCACATTCTTTGCTGATAACCGGACGGGACACCGAGACTTATATATATATATATATGCATACTATAATAAAATAGACAACAACATGAATAATAATTATTGTTTATTGTTAAAGAGGCGGTATTCAAAAGTTTTATTATTAAAAACATTTTGGTGTATAGTTTATATAATATTGAGCAAAAAGAAATTCCAGCCCACAAAATAAAGAGACTGCCCCTTTAAATATTTTATATACAGTTGGAGATAGAAAATGTTAATAGCTTCTACCACTTATGTTACAATATGCCCCTCATTGCACACTTCATGTAAAACAGGAAGCAAGACCTTTTAGGTAAGTAGAACAGTTTTAGATTTTAATTCTGTTACATGCATTGATAGACTGTTACTAATTGTTAGACGCAGTTATGTCACTAAAAAAATTAGTTTGAGGACAAACTATTGTGAAACAATTGCGTAAACCTTTCCAATTTGCACTTCCGTTTCATACCACTATCCAAAAAAAAAAAAAACAGCAAAAAAATTTGGAAACGAATATTGAGTAAGAAGCCTATGCTTATTGGCATGGAAAAATAAGAGATAGAATTATCTGTATCTCATGCTATGATGTCAGAATTGGCAACTGACAATATCAGATCAACCAGGTGAAAGGATATTCTGGAAAGTCTTTAAACCTGAAACGAGGTGAAATGAACGAATTATAATATGCCTATGAAAAAAAAGTGCATATTATGCGACATCACCTTGTACAACCAGTGTCAATCTTTCCCTGCAATAGGCGAGGTGATGTAAGCCTACAGCGAAGTCAGAAATTCACAAGGTTTACTCATTCATCGCTGGGCCACCTGAAGTGATGTAGCTAGAACTAGAGCCTCATTCGACATCATTTTGTGTGTTCCCCATGGTTAATACTGTTCTCAGACCCGTAGCTTCTAGGAAGTAAAAAATTCTGACATTAGTCCATTATTGGGACATAATACCGCATATATTGCGTGCCCCTCCGGATATATTTCTTGCCCCTCCGGATATATTTCTTGCCCCTCCGGATATATTACTTGCCCTTCCAGATATATCACTTGCCCCTCCTAACAATCAAAGTCTGGCTACGAGTCTACTGATTCTAATACTACCCAACAGTAAATTTGGTCTGTACTGTACTTACATTAGGAGTTTGGCGCATTTATAATCTCTGCTTAAACCATTGATTTCTTTTACTTCTTCTGGTGTCAATGAAAAATCAAATATCTGCAATGAAAATTGAGGTATTTGTTAAGGAACCGAAGAGTCGTGGCATTGAACTTGAGTGAAATATATATCATCTCAATGGATTATCCGAAACACTTGCCTCTATTCCAGCCTCTGATTGCTCTGTGAACATCCTTTATATCAGCAATAAAAATGGTGTTTTGCCACCTCTTGAACCAAATACACTTAAATACATGCATTTAAAATATAATTTACTTTATAATAAATAAATCCCGTTTCTGAGACTAATGTACGATTTTTCAAACGGATGGCAAATCTGTCCCTTTAACATAGAGTCGCAGTTCGAAATTTAAGTAAATTGTTTACCTCAAAGTTTTCTTTAATCCTTGATGGTGTAACACTTTTTGGTACGAGAGTATATCCTCTATCAATACCCCATCTTAATACAACCTAAAAAAGACAATTGTTATTTACTGTCACAAAGGCTCCAAGACAGTGATCAAAATTATTGTATACCGACTACCGGACCAATCAGGTAAACGAGCCCGAGCCTTCAATTCAAGTTGTGCAAAGTAAGGAAGCACCAAATCATTTCAATTTTTGAAAATTATTTCGGAAAACCCTTCCCAATTGTCCCCGACCCCTTTGAGACATTCTCCCCCCTATTTGTACCCCCAGTCTCCGAAAGCTGGCTCTGCTACTGTGCTGCAGACCAACATTACCTCATTCTAAATTTTGATTGGTACAGAATTTATTACTTAAACTTACACTCTATCATTAAGGTTATGATGTTATTTTTTTTAAAACTTACTTGAGCAGGAGTTTTGCCGTGCTTTTTAGCTATCTTGACTATGGTTGGATCAGTAAGTGTATCAGGTTTTTCTTCAGTGCTAAAAATAAAATTAACGACATTTGAAATTTAGGAATATTCGGGCTTGGCATAACAAAATATAATGGTAAACATTTCAATTTACATTGATTGTGAATTGTGAAGCAAATTGAAGGAATAATGGGATTGACATGAGTTATGAATTTTACTGGAGATTTATCATCAAGATGATGACAAGCTGAGAAAGTGATGACATGAATCATAAGTGATGAACTTTACTAGAGATTTATCATCAAGATGAAGGCATTTTCAGAAAGTGATAACTTGAGTCATAAGTTATGAACTTTACTGGAGATTTATCATCAAGATGATGACCAGCTGAGAAAGTGATGACATGAATCATAAGTGATGAACTTTACTAGAGATTTATCATCAAGATGAAGGCATTTTCAGAAAGTGATAACTTGAGTCATAAGTTATGAACTTTACTGGAGATTTATCATCAAGATGATGACCAGCTGAGAAAGTGATGACATGGACCATAAGTGATGAACTTTACTAGAGATTTATCATCAAGATGATGACAAGCTCAGACAGTGATGCCATTATCAATTAAGCCAGATTCCCTTTCCTTACTGGCTTTTCACAGGGAAACAAGGAAAAACGCAATGACCAGTATGAAACATCAGAATTGCCATCTATTTGGCCAGATATTATGAGACAAGACATCCAATGACTTCGGTTTGATTGATTGGCAAATACGTGAAAGTGATCTTACGTATTTTCTCCGCCTTTAGCTAATGGTGAATATGCTGTAACGACAACTCCAACTTTCTGACAATAATCAACTAATTCTGTATTGGTAAAATATGGATGTATTTCTATCTGAAATCATTATTTGACCATGATGCTGCATTACAAATAGGACTATTGTAACTCTTTACGGGGATGTTATGTAACCAACTCTCTCAGTTGTATACTCGTCTAGATATATGCTTTACCAATTGCTAGATCGAGATATCAGATCTTGTTTTTTTCAGATGCCACATATTACCTGATTAACAGCTGGTTTTACTCTGAGATCTTTATCATTCAATATTCTTCCAACTTGTTCAGCATTAAAATTAGATAAACCAATACTTTTAACTAAACCTTTTAGTACCAGTTCTTCCATTGCCTGGAAATGGTTCATAACTGAGTTGAAAGCGGTGGATTATTATTATAAACTAGCCTGAATCTGAAATTCGTGGTATTAATTCTTGGTAGATATTGCATTTTCAACAGGAAGATCGAGCTTATCAGCAACATTCCATGCCTTCTCTTATTGATGATGAAGGTCGGTACAGGTATTGCTCTCAGATTAAGTTACGTGTGCTTCTATAGAAATCGATTCGAGTATATTTTGAATCATGTGCATTCGTGGTTTGCATTCATTAACAATTTAAAAAAAATTGAAATACAAACCCTCCAGGTGTCCAACAGTTTAATCTTTGATGGTCTCAAACCATCTTCATATAAAAACGACTCTTTATCGTCCGAATCCTGAAAATATTCATGGACACAATCAGATAATCTTTAGTCTAATGAAGAGATATTACCTAATTTTAGGATTATAAGGTACACTTCCAGATCCTAGTAAGAACATTCTGATTTTGCTTGAAAGAACTTGGACATTCGATACCAATACAAGTGAAAAGCTAGAACCTGTTTTAACAATATCATGACCATCTCCTGTTTCGGGATAATAATCGAATCCAATATGCTCAAGACATTATAAGTCGACCTTTTGATATATGCTATCTGCATATTTCATGCATAATAACTATTAATTTATATTATCTTAATTTTAATTAGAATATCATTTGTACCGACTTTCTTAAATGAATATCTGCAGACCGTTACACTATTCAAGTATAAAAAAGTGCTGATTGTTTTTAGTTTTGAAATGTCGATGTTGTTGGTATTCTACTCAATGAAATATTATATGGTAAAATGCATATATCTTAATCAATCTATGTCGCTGTAGCTAAAGGTGTTAGATATGGATACCAACATGTAGAACTTCATTTCGACTATCTATATCCCCTTTCAATAAACAATTGCACTTGTAAGTCATACCTACCACTGCAAATGGCCAATGTATCAAATACAAATCCAGATAGTCGGTCTTTAAGGCTTTTAAACTCTCCTTTAATGCAAACTCAACCCATTCTGGATCATGGTAGGTACTCCATAGCTGAAACACATTATATTTTTTTTAATGGCAGACGTCTTATTGCTAATAACCGTTATCTTGGAATTTCGGGCATCTATTCCCGTGTAGTTCGTTCGAAATGATACTTTCAGCTTCACCGCCATTGATGTATATTGCTAGGGCTTACATTGCAAGAGTTTAACACCCCTTGGGTTTATATTAATAAATAAAGACAATAGACGTTACAACCAAGTCCATATATTGCAACCATTTGGCCAATGAAACTGAATCTGTTCACGATAATACCCACTAATTTTGACAGTAACAAACCTTTGATGTGATGAAGAGATCAGATCTTTTGACCACACCATCTTTAATTTTACCCTCTACAGCTTCAGCGATTTCTGGTTCTGTTTTATAAACAGACGCCGTATCAATATGACGGTAGCCAACGTCAATAGCAACACTTACAGCATCACGTATTTGGTTTTCCTGTAATTGCAATAGACGTTAGAGATGATAATTATAAGGCTTCTTCGAATGTTAGGAATCTTAGACACTGGCAAGAATTTGAAATAATGCAGTGAGAAGTTAAATGTTTCCCATGAGTGTATAATACAATAATATAATTATATATACATATTATGTATATAGAAATATTCAGCTGGCTAAAAATAGGTCAGTCTTGTTTGAAGATCGCATATGGTGAAACTCTGAGTAACAACATGATTCAAGTCCTGTTTTAATATTTCTATATCGCTCTACAATTGATGTATTGAGCACTATTTTAACAGTGGTATTTCTATATCACTCTACAATTGATGTATTGAGCAATATTTTAACAGTGGTATTTCTATATTGCTCTACAAGTGATGTGTTGAGCACTATTATAACAGTGAAAATATGTCATTATTGTACATATATAATTTCTGAAACTGAAATTTACCTACCTTTAAAAAATTCCAAGTCCCATAACCTAACACTGGCATTAATTGCCCGTTGTTTAATTTAACGTTTGGTACTTTGCTGGCCATTTTAGACATTTATGCTTGCTCTTTCCGTATAGCAATCGGACATAGAAGGTTAAATCCTGCGCATTAAGAAAATGACGCTATAACATATTGTTGTCAGTATAATGTCCCATTGGTTGGTTTATAATTGTTAATGTTACACGGTGGTGTGTTATCTTTGACGCCCAGACTATTCCTGTCTACGAAATCTCTCGCCGAAGTTGTACGTAGACATAGAGGGACTGAATGATAGAGGCTAGGAGGCGTGTAGTCATGATAAATCGGTTTCGTTACAGATATTTAAAGGAATATTCCGCTTTTTAGTAAAAAATTTCATTATCAAAAAGTATACATGAAAATATTTCTAAAGTATGCTCTTTATATCTACGTATCTTCTTGATCAAACCGAATTTGTTTTAAAAAGGGTTAATTGAGAACGGAGAGTACTAATTATTAAATAAGCAGTTTGACCTACAGTTTTGGTGTTTAGAAAACGTAGGAGATATATTTCTCTATTATTTTGCTCAAATCCATTCAGTAGTTTTCTAACTCCTACCAAAAAGCATAACGAACGAGCGAAATCTTACGTAATGTTTTTAAATATTTTTGGCGTTTAAAAATTAATTTCTTGATTTTTTTAGTTTAAACAGGTTAAAGGGCACATTTCTCTAGACTTTGGTGTATAGTTTTTGAGCAAAATAAGTTTTTGTCCTACAAAAAAGCGGAATGTCCCTTTAAAATTGAGCAAATATTTCATCAACAGTATTACAAGTGTACTTGATCACTTAAGTGCATAATCACATTACAAAAACAACAACAGGTGCTGACTGTGCTAACAGGACACGGCACACACCTTGCAATTCACTTATACTCGATTTATACCGGCATTAAACCCAGAGCCAGACTTTAAGCGTGCCTGAAATGTCATACCACTGCAGCTCGAACAGGAATTGACTTGTTGGCCACGAAATAATCGTAGTTTATAACGCACACAAAGTTACAATGATATGGTTTTCTAATCTAACTTTAGTTTGATAAACAAAAAGGGGGTCACGATAAATGAAGTATGTTGCATTAAATGTTCATTGATAATGATAAAAAGTTCATGCGTTTTATCTATGGCGTTTTTAGGTGTGGTTGGAGGGGTGGGGGTGGTGCTATTTTCATGGTGCCATTTCCCCTTCCTCCCTCGGGACAGAAAAAAAAGAAAACAATATTCTACTTTCACTGCCTTTCGCGTTAGATGCATTCTCCACCACCCTACATTAGAAAAAAGTAGACACCCCACCGTGTGTGTGTGTCATGTAATTAATAAACTAATAAACCTCATAAATAGAACAAGCCCAAGAATAGCGGATGTGTTGTGAAATGTATACTCCATAAGCTAGTGATTGTGGTATGTAGTATGAATGGAAAATTTACTTAGGGAAAATCAAAGTCGTCACGTTTGTCATATAATCTGACACAAATATCATTGAAGACAGTTTAATAAGTGTTAACTACTAGTTTAATAAAGAAATAACATAAGTCACATCGCATAAAGGGCAACGTAACAATAAGTATGAAGACCAAACTATTTTGAAACGATTGCGACTACGAAAAAAAGCATCAAGAAAAACTACAAGCTGAAAAAAAGTATCTAAACGTATCTTTTTTAAAAATTAAAACAATCATCTGGATATATTATTTTTGCAAAAAATATTGTGTAACAAGCTATGTCTAGGAATGTTTTATGGCTAAGAAGGTGCAGGGGTTGTGCAGAATTATCTGTATATAAAACTTTGATTTCATCATCGACTAAAGGGTAACTGATAATGTAATTGTTCAGATCAACCAAGTGAAAGGAAATTCTGGATAATCTTTAAACCTGAAATGAGGTGAAGTATATATAAAAATGTGCAAATATACTACATATTTTAAAGTCCACAGTTCGCTCTTTTCGGGGGTCAATCGTTCCCTGATCAGCTAATCGGTCTTAGTATTCAGTCGAAATTTGATCCTTCTTAGCCATATAGTGTATCCATACTGATGCGTGTTGAAAGTTAAAAAGACGAGTTGCTTTTTTCCTGGATTTTTGAAGAACGGTTAATGACAGCACATATATACAGAAGACTCTAATCATCCAGTCTCACTTCTTCTACACACAGCTGCGACGAAAGACGTTCATCTTTCGGATATCCGAATTTTCAGAGAGAAGTGAAGCTTCAAGTCAAGGCCCAAATCAACCTTCGAAATGGCGAATCATGGCCTTTAACCTAGCACAACTAGTGACACCTCGTTCCTTCACTGGTTATTCGATGTAAGTTACGATATATAGTCCTTGTTTGAAATTCCAAACATCTGTTGTGGTACTCCCCTTTGTGCACAATCGTTAGGGCCGACTGAAATAATCAGCTGGAATTCCCTTCCAACCCATGACAGTTCTTGACATCATTTTGGATCTGTATCCCATGGTCAAGACTGTTTCTAATTCTATTTAGGAAAATTTATTGGACAATTAAGCAGTCTGTAAAATATGTGGTTTGCAAATACATTCCGTTGGTCAAATAACAACAGTAAATTTAGAATGTACTTACATCAGATGTGTGATGCATTTATAATTTCTATTTAAACCATTGATTTCTTTTACTTCTTCTGGTGTCAATGAAAAATCAAATATCTGCAATATGAAATGCAACTATTTAGATGGTCACAATGAACCAATTAGGTAGGAATAACTAAATTACTGTATAATATTGACAAGAGTGGTTCGCCATTTTCTGGGGTATACAGCAGAGTCCATGTATGAAACTATAAATTTATTTGATAGTTTCATGTTGCTAACGACGAAAACAGACTCTAATGCATTTCCAAAGCATTATATTTACAAATGTCAACACCTATGGTGTAAGATTTAGTCACTGGACTCTGGGGTCTTCAGAAGTACTAGAAATGTACAAAAAAGAGCTTAATTCCTTCAAAACAAAAGAATTTCACTTTCTATACTTTATATAATATATGTCTTTTCTTAATATTGCAGAGTCGCCTGTTCAACCTTTTTAAAATGGATTTGAAGGCTAATTTTTCGACAGTTAGCTTTGAACACTATTACTGATTAGCTTAGCTAAAAAAAACCTGTTTCTGAGACTAAGGTACGATTTTACAAACGGATTGCGAATCTGTCCCTTTAACATAGAGACGCAATTCGAAATTTAAGTAAATTGTTTACCTCAAAGTTTTCTTTAATCCTTGATGGTGTAACACTTTTTGGTACGAGAGTATATCCTCTATCAATACCCCATCTTAATACAACCTAAAAAAGAGTTTCAAAACAGATATCGCCAGGAACAGCAGAAAACACATATCCAAATAGATGAAAATTTTAATGTGGTTGCATATTGGTATGCAAGTTCAAGAGATGGGACCATTTAAACGCTAACGTTTTGATACTGCCAAGGAATTTATCAGTGGCGGAGCCAAAGGGGGAGGGGGTATGTGTGTCAGAGGGGGCAGCCGCCCCCCTCGCAGCCCGAAAGCAAGGTTTTCGGACAAAAATCTCATAACTAGGTTAGAAGTTCGGGCAATCTTAGATATTTCGCCCCCTCTCGGACGCAAACCTGGCTCCGCCACTGAAATTTATAATCTATAGTGATCAATCTATTTTGTCGACTTACTTGAGCAGGAGTTTTGCCGTGTCTCTTAGCTATCTTGACTATGGTTGGATCGGTAAGTGTATCAGGAGGCTTTTGTTCAGTACTATAAATAAAATCAGTTCTAGGGAGATACAGGATTGAAATTCACCTTTATGATAATGGCTAAGGACAAAAAATGTTTAATTTACATTGAATGTGAATTGATAAAGACCATATTCAATCGATGGAATTTTTTGGATTGTCAGTCTCAGAAAGTGGTGTGAACCCGTGTGAATATCCCGATCCTCGGAGACGCCCATTCGTGAAAATACGGGACACCCAATCTCCAGCATGTAGCATCGACATTATCAGGGTCACGTTTACGACAGTTTTTGCATTGTCGCGACATCGAATGTCTAAAACGGGTTGTCGATGAAAAATAATCTAATTAGGCAAGAAATCGATTGGCAAATACAGCTTACATTTCTTCTCCGCCTTTAGCTAATGGTGAATATGCTGTAACGACAACTCCAACTTTCTGACAATAGTCAACTAATTCTGCATTGGTAAAATATGGATGGATTTCAACCTTAAACGATAATGTGACTCTTAGCATTACAATCATCACAAACATCACATTCTAAATCGGTATATCTTTATAGAAGTTAGAGTTTACATCTGATTCTCCTTCCAGTTGAACCATCAACACATTTTAAGTTTAAAGAATATTATTTTTAGTATACTTCATATTACCTGATTGACGACTGGTTTTACTCTGAGATTTTTATCATTCAATATTCTTCCAACTTGTTCAGCATTAAAATTAGATAAACCAATACTTTTAACTAAACCTTTTAGTACCAATTCTTCCATTGCCTGGAAAGGTAGAAAATTATTACACAGTGGGTTATTATTGTACAGATTTTTCAAATATTTTCTCAAAACCAATTCCTTTAAGAAATTGAATTTTGAAGAAAAGCATGAGCCTTTCGCTCTTAATATTGCAGTCTTTCTATTGTGATAAAAAAGGTAAAAGAAAATTATCTGTGTTCTACAGAAATAGTATCAGAATATCTTGAAAACCTGCTCTGGTCAAACATGTTCAATGATGAAATTGGCAGAAGAAAAGAAGAAATACAAACCCTCCAGGTGTCTAGCAATTTGATTTTAGATGGTCTCAACCCTTCCTCAAATAAAAACGACTCCTTGTCGTCCGAATCCTGAAAATATTTATAAACAAAATCAGCACTTGTAGCAGAGAGTTCAAAAATGATCTCTAGTTACAGGAACCTACACTCACCACGACCGGTGTACATAGAAAAAAGGTTAGAACCACTTTACTATATACTATTTCCAGAAACAAGCACGTATTTTCAACAGTAGTGGTTCTTTAGTTTTCAACTGTGTGGATATTCTACTCGATGAGAAATACTTAAGTGTTTAAAGGTATGTATCTTAATTACGGTGATTACCAAGCTATCTATACAGTGTATTACTTATCAAAGTAAATAAGACATGGAAGTCATCACCTACCACAGCAAATGGCCAGTGCATCAAATACAAATCCAAATAGTCAGTCCTTAAGGCTTTTAAACTCTTCTTTAAAGCAAACTCAACCCATTCGGGATCATGGTAGGTATTCCATAGCTGAAACATATCAATTTGTATTAAATGTTTTTTAATAATGATCACGACAACTCAATAATTAACCCAGGGTTCCAGGACTGGGGTTTCATGATTGATAAAATCCGTATGTAAACGTTATTGGTTAAAATCTAACACCTCATACGTAATAGGTATGCGTTCGTTTTAAGAGGCATGAGACACAAAATTTAGTTTGGCAGTAAGAAGTCACCACCAAGTCCACTAATTTTGACAGTAACAAACCTTTGATGTGATGAAGAGATCAGATCGTTTGATAGCACCATCTTTAATTTTACCCTCCACAGCTTCACCGATTTCTGGTTCTGTTTTATAAACAGACGCCGTGTCAATATGGCGGTAACCAATGTCGATAGCTACACGTAAAGCATCACGTACTTGATTTTCCTGAAACCATAAAAATCAGAGTTGATAATGCTTTTCAAGAAACAGGTCATACATGGCAGGCTTTGATTGATTAACGTCATTGGAACGGGAATACGATAGAATGCTTGTGTGATTACCATGGAGACGAAAAAGAAAAAGAATAAATAAGGAAACAAAACATATGTAGATCTTTTGAATAATATATACGTTGCACAATTCCTGATACCTACCTTAAAGAAATTCCAAGTCCCATAACCTAACACTGGCATTAATTGCCCGTTGTTTAATTTAACGTCTGGTACTTTGTCGGCCATTTTAGACTATGCTTACTCTTTCCTATTTCAATCGAAATGGAAGAAACACGTCAATTTATATCATGTTAAGGTGACAATATTGAAAAAGTACGGTAATGGTATAATGTCCCATCGGTTGGCTTATAATTGTTAATGTCAACACAGTGTCGTGTAGTCATGATTACGCAGTTTCGTCACAGTGATAAAAAACCAAACAATATCATTATCAACAGTATTACGTGTGTACATTATCACTTAGTAGTGCATTATCACCACACCGATAAAACTTGACTTAACTTGTGCATGCATTATAAACTGCACTAATATTAAGAGACAAACAAACAAATTATGGGCCAACCGATGACTCATTACATCGATTTCCAATGTTCAACGATTTTGTAGGTGTAGTCGGTGTCCGTGACAATATCTGCTACTGTGTACGTGTGTACCTGCATGTACTTATGACACATTTTAGCAAGCAGCGGCGGCAGTGGGGGTACAATGGGGACATTCGCCCCCCCCCCCCCTTTATAATAATGATTTGCACCCCAAATTGTACCCCCCTCTTTATGTTGAACAAATAAAATTTATTATTTTGCGTTTTTTGCCTCAAAATTTGTGTTTTCTTGAAAGAACTCTCTTAGACACTCCATGAGAGGCTTTCGACAGCTGCCCACCCATTAAGTCAGTCTGCCCCCTACTTGTCTCAGGAGGCTGGCGAAGCCACTGCTTTTCCTCTTATGAAGTTTCAATAGCGAGCAGGAAAATTCTACATAAATGGCAAAATATTGTCATCGGGATTAGGCCAATGGTTTTAGATGCCACTGTTTTCACAAACAAACTTTCATTATGTCACCATTCTTATTAACGTAAAGCTTAAAACGAACACGTGGATAGGTGGATTTTGACATTAAAATATATGACAAACTGATAACAACTGGTGAACATGTAAAGACACAGTTATAATATTATATAGATATCGGTTTTGACACGTCCCCGATCACTGACAAGGTCATGTCCTTTCTCGAGTGTGTCAAAACTGCTATATCATGTCATGCAGTAATATCTCTTTTATCAGTTATACCCGTGGTATATTATAGTAACGACAGAATTTGAAACTCAAAGATAGTGACATAAAGCATATCATTCACAGCGAGTCAGTAATATCCTCTACTGGCATTTGTCATTTCAGACGGTTATTGTAAAGGTAAAATATTAAAATCCAACATGGCCAATAAAGTACCAAACGTTAAATTAAATAACGGACAACTGATGCCAGTGTATGGTTATGGTACGTGGAATTTTTTGAAGGTAATTATACTTTTATTATCTTGCAATTCTTTCAAACGTTACCATGCTGCAAGTGGTAAATAGCCATTGCCGTGTAAATTGATTGCATATATGTATTAGAATAATCATTATCGACCAGATTGTAATGTTATTTTTCATGTCAGATCTTATCAGCATGTATATGATACTCGATCTGGTCCATCTTCAACAAGAGCCCAAACAAATACATGAAACTGACGACATTACTGCGATGACAGACTTTTGGTCTCGAAAAATAGAAGCCATAAATGTCGACAATACAAAGACAAAACCAACAAATCCTCTCGTAAATTATAGATCAGCGTCAACGGTGTACAAGCATGATTTAAACGGATTGTGTAGAGGTTTCTAAATTTTTTATGTGTATCGGGGACACTAAAAGCATCAATTTGCACCATTCAAATTTATAGTCAGACGTCTGTGGTGTGATGCAAATTGATGTTATCAGTGTTCCCGATACATACAACAATTTAAGAAAACCTCTTTACAATCCCTTTGAGAGATTTTACAGCTTGTTCATGGTTTCAGGAAAATCAAGTACGTGATGCTGTACGTGTAGCTATCGACGTTGGTTATCGCCATATTGATACTGCTGCTATCTACAAAACAGAACCAGAAATCGGTGAAGCTGTAGAGGGTAAAATTAAAGATGGTGTTGTCAAACGATCCGATCTCTTCATCACATCAAAGGTTTGTGAACAGCATTACACCGAAGCAGTACAATAAAAGGATACTAATTTCGCCAGGCATTTGGTCACAAAATATTTTAGCATACTTATAATAACTTTGATATGAATTATGGTTTTCAGCTTCCCAATACTTACCATGATCCAGAATGGGTTGAAGTTGCATTGAGGAAGAGTTTAAAAGATTTAAGGACTGAATATCTAGATTTGTATTTGGTGCATTGGCCATTTGCTGTGGTAAGCTGTTTTTGTGATCTTAGTTTCTCACAAGCATCAAGTGTTCATCAGCAGCACCTCCAAAATCACAAACCTAATAATCAAATTCAGGAATGATATCAATCAATATCATCCTCATCATCAATATCATCGACATCAACAATATCATAAAAGTTAGTAATATCATCATCATCCATATCATCAGTAATAACATCATTTTCATCACCGTGTCACCAGCATCAGTAATAACATCATTTTCATCACCGTGTCACCAGCATCAGTAGTATCATCATCCTCATCATCATCATCATCATCATCATCAACCAATATCCTCAACGTCAGTAATAACATCATATCATCAACGTCACTAATAGCATCATCATCATCATCTCAAATATCATCAACCACCATCAACATCCTTCAAGCTCAACTGACTTAGTAGCAATATCATCTACGTCTTAAACAAACACCTGTTTTCCATTTTCAAGAGGACAATTAGAACCATATATCGATTTATCTAATCATGACACTATTTCCGACTTTTTCCAGGATGCGGACGACAGAGAATCTTATTTTGATATGAAGGGATTGAGACCATCAAAGGTTACACTGCTGGATACTTGGAGGGTCTGTATTTATTTTCGCCATTATTGGAAAAGCCCCGATTCAAAATGATATGATAGAAAAATGACCAGATAAAAGATAAAATCTTCTAAATAATTGCATAAATATTATCTATGCCGTTATTAAAAATACCTATGTAAATGTTATACGACCACAGTAGTTACAATAGATACATTCATATGACGACAGATGACCTTTCCAGGCAATGGAAGAACTGGTACTAAAAGGTTTAGTTAAAAGTATTGGTTTATCTAATTTTAATGCTGAACAAGTTGGAAGAATATTGAATGATAAAAATCTCAGAGTAAAACCAGCTGTCAATCAGGTATGACATGAAAAAATTAAATTAAATTAAATTAACTATATTGGTTAGATTAACATTTTATGATTGTCGGCAAGCTTTGGATCAGAAAACCTAAGCGCAGAATGACTTTTAATATGATAACAAGCACGATTATCATTATTATTAAAATTTCAGATAGAAATACATCCATATTTTACCAATACAGAATTAGTTGATTATTGCCAGAAAGTTGGAGTTGTTGTTACAGCATATTCACCATTAGCTAAAGGAGGGGAAGAAATGTAAGGGTTTGTTTGTTTGGCTTAAAGAGCTGAAAAGGGGGCTTTGTTCGGCATTATAAACGACGTTATGACGTCAATACTGGTAAAGCTTTCCTGGAACAACAGACCACGGGCGGAAATCTGACTTGTATACATAATAATCCCAGTATACATGTACATACAAATTGAAGCTCTGAAACTGTTTGAATCATTTTGATATCTGATATCATTTTCTTCTGATTAATTTTAAGGGAAATGATATACTTCCAGAACTTCTTTGATTATGATTTATCCGCTGATCAATTTCAAAAGAGAGTTTTCAGTCAGCTATTGATCAGATTCACCCGGTGGCCATCAATTCACAGCAGTCGTTGAACAGTCGCAAGGTCCACGTTCACCTATATAACTCAAATTAGTACATTGTATTCTATGACCAATTATGAATTTATATATTGGAATGGTAGTAATTTTGTTTTATAGTACTGAACAAAAGCCTCCTGATACACTTACTGATCCTACCATAGTCAAGATAGCTAAAAGACATGGCAAAACTCCTGCTCAAGTAAGTCCTAATCAGAAAAAATGTCAATGTGCATTTAGCTGTACTGTCATCTTACATTTAAAGACACACATGGGCAACATGAAAGGAGTATTTATCAGCCTTTTACGCCTCAAGTCCAAGTATTGGAAACATAACTCTGCATTTCTATACCAGATTTTCTGGTGATTAAATTATCTCTGAAACAGGTTATTGTCTTTCTCATATGCTTGGGAATTAATGCCTTAATCATGTACCTTGCTCTAGGTTGTATTAAGATGGGGTATTGATAGAGGTTATACTCTAGTACCAAAAAGTGTTACACCATCAAGGATTAAAGAAAATTTAGAGGTACGTTGTAAAATCCTGGACTGTGATTGTATCATTACGATATAATATAATCTTCAGTAGATTTGGGCTTCACCACGAAGTCGCAGTGGGTCCATCAATTGCTTAGACCTTAGATTGTAGACTGCTTGGTCTTGGTTTTTTGTTTATAGTACGAGTGTTTGAGCTCATGTCTGATGGGGTTATGCGGCATTGCGTTCTCTCCTAGAAATCTCAACCAAAAGTAGTCAAAAAGTTTGTCAGAAAATTTTCTTGCGTAAAAACAAATTTTAAAGAAATAATGTGTGCTTTTGATTATGTTTTTATCACCACAAAGACATTCTAAGACTAACAGTACTATCTTTAAAATATTAGAATAATTACCTTGTTCAGACAATAATCAGTATTTCAAAATACAAAAATTGCAAATTATCAACGATTAATGAAGCGATGATATTACATCTTAATAGATTTGAAAGGCCAAAATTTAAAAATAATTATATAGTCTGGTAAGTAACTGCAATTTCCTTCACAACTGAGATGATTTCTCTAATGTCATTCCAGATATTTGACTTTTCGTTGACATCAGAAGAAGTAAAAGAAATCAATGGTTTAAACAGAAATTATAAATGCATTAATTATTTACCGTAAGTATGGCACACATATTTTATAGTCAGTTTTCAATCTGAAGCAATTCCAACAGAGCTGTTTAGAGTGGCGGCACCTTCCTCCCGAGATTGGGGGTGATTTCGGGCAAACCAGACTGCCATTCCCAACAGTCCTTTGGCTAGTACGCCTATGGAGTAGAGTGACCATAAGTACAATTTTGACTCTATTTCAACAGCCAGTAGAAATTCTCTCGAACAATTTCATTTTGTTTAAGGTTTAGTTTTCGAATAGTTCGAAACATGAACATTATGTTGGCCAAAACGATTCTGAATTGCTGATCGTTTGGTGTAATATACTATTTTCTTCTCATTTCAGCTTCAAAGGCTATCCAGAGTTTCCCTTCACTTGGTTGATCTAGTTGAAGATAATTCCAGAAAACTACTTTGAAAGCTTCTACATTAACACAAATGACTTAGGCCAAACTTGCCACTTATGCCATTGTTTTTATCATTGTTTTGTGTATTTTGTACTTGAAATTTGCTTATAAAGACTGTAAAGAATTATAATGAGATTTTTTTTCGTGAGCCACGATGCAAATTGCGTCTCGGGTCAATTTTAGAGCCTATTACAGTTGTGAGCGTATGTGTGACCTTTGGCCCAAAACTTGCCACTTATGCCAATGTTATTATCTATTTTTAGTATTAGGATTCTTCATATAATGAAGATGGTTTAGAAATTTTCCCAATGAATTATAACAAAGGACTGATAAAGGCCTCTAAATCAAGTCTATTTGATTAGGGCGTACTGACAATGTAAGTGTATTTTGTGTATGCAAATGGACTCATAATTTCAGTAAGATTTGAAATTTCTTTATATAGACAGCAACAATTTCATTTTTTTTTTCAATAAAAACACCACATTTTATACTTTTAATTTCTAAATTATACACAATATATATCATAATATATCAACATATTCATTTGTATTTGAAGCAACTTCAATGATTTTTCCTTTCATGTTTGGATGATATATACCATCAATTTCAACTCAAACTTTCTGTCATTTTCTTCTTGTCTCATATCTACAAATATATAACAATACAAGTGCTAACTATTTAACAAATATACCATCAATTCAATACCCACTATTTTGAGGTCACCTGCCAATTATTTAGGAAATCCATATATGTATATAATAGGAGAGGAGGTCATGTTTCCAGAAATTCCAGAATTAAGACTAATACATACGCAGATATATTTAGAAATATGATTGGTTATAGTAATTTATTTTCTCTTATCTCTTAGAACAAAGTAAATTTATAAATATTTTTTCACCCAAAACAGAATTTCGATTGGATTGAAATTTCTAAATTTGAAATGACAAGAAAAATTGGTAATAAACTTGAAAATCCAATTTGGAATTACAAATAAAAAAATTCTAATAAATTCGAAAATTTTGAACAATCTAGATTGGTTACCTATTTTAAAATATATCAAACACGAAGAGCACAATTTTAAGATTTTGGTATTTTCTATGGTCTATAAAATTTAGGAATCTATGTGTAAAGGTGTTAGGGTTAGGTGTAGAGTTAGGATTAGTACTTGTTGGAGGATGCAAGTAAAGAGGAAATAATTCCAAAATAAATTCCTAAAGTTTACAGACCACAGAATTATATATTCCACATTCAAAAAATTCAAAATGCAACCATTCTCGATTGTAATCAAATACCGAATATCAATATCTAAAGGTCCAGGGTTCAATCTCGACATAGGTCAAGATGATCACCTTCGGACTTTCCAACCGAATTGTTCAAAATAAAGGTTCAATTTGACTACAGATTCAATAATTGAAGTCAATTGAAACCTTTCAGAGTGAAATTTAGAAGTAATCAAGAAGCGTTAATGAGAGTTCTAAAATATTCTGATTCTAAAATCGATAATCAAAAATTACCTTACCTAAATCAAGATTTCGAGATAAATCAACTTTTTCCAAAAGAGAAAAAGATTAACGACAGAATCAATATTTGTGGTATTAAAGTATGGATTTATGAAATTTTACAGATATCAAGGTGAAATTAAAAGAAAACTTGGTCAAGTCATCAATAAAACAACATCACGTATCATATACTTTAAAGTACGAACTATATCAAGTT